CCCTCGTATCCCAGCATGCCCTGCTCCTTCTCGGGACAATCCGCCCTCGTATTCCCAGCATGCCCTGCTCCTTCTCAGGGCAACCTGCCCTCGTATTCCCAGCATGCCCTGCTCCTTCTCGGGGCGGGCTGCTCTGGCTCGTGGTGGGGTGGGGGGTGAACCCCAGAACTGGAGGTTTAAAGGCAGTTCTGCCCCCCCCTCCACCACTGCATCCCTGCCCTGAGTGGGGGAGCTGAGAGTCAGGCCCAGGGAGGGGGAGCGGGGGGGGAAGAATTGGGGCAGGGGGAGCAGACCCCCACACCCTGGTCCAGCCCCTGACCCTCCCCCCACTGTGGGTTTCTGTTATGATTGTTTTGTTCTCCTCCTTTTCCCACTTCCACCATCCCCCCCCCTCGGCGCCCAGTACTTTGATGAGGAGATGGAGTACTATGAGTACCCCGACTCTTACGGGAATAAAGAGGATGGGAACGTGCCCCTCCCCACGCCTTCGGGGGGCAAAGTGGAGCAGGTAACCGGGGGGGGGGGCAGGCTCTGCTCCCCCCCACCGTCTGTCTGTCTGTCCCAGCTCCCGTTGTGTCATTGAGTCTCATCCGCTCATGCCAGTGTCGTCCGTCGGTCCATCCATCCATCCATCCATCCATCCATCCATCCATCCATCACTGCTTCATTTCACCCCCAGAGCAGGAGCGCGGGCGGCACGGGTTGGGGGGGCAGGGAATGGGGATACTAGTGGGGGCAAGCCATGCCCCTCACACATTGTAACCTGCTGGTGGGGCCTCCTGGTGGGAGGCAGAGGGGAGGAAATCCATACACATGGGGATCCCAAGGACAATGAGGGCTCTGGGGTGACCCCCGGAGATTTGGGGTGCTCTGTAAGTATCCAGGTCCCCGGGGCAGAGGGGGTCTGGGGTGACCCACGGATATTCGGGGTGCTCTGTATGTATGCAGGTCCCCATGGGCAGAGGGGGTCTGGGGTGACCCCTAGAGATTCAGGGTGCTCTGTGTGTATCCAGGTCCCCGGGGCAGAGGGGGTCTGGAGTGACCCCTGGAGATTCAGGGTGCTCTGTATGTATGCAGGTCCCCATGGGCAGAGTGGGTCTGGGGTGACCCCTGGAGATCTGGGGAGCTCCGTATGTATCCAGGTCCCCAGGGCGGACGGGGTCTGGGGCAACCCCTGGATATTTGGGGTGCTCTGTATGTATGCAGGTCCCCATGGGCAGAGGGGGTCTGGGGTGACCCCTGGAGATTCGGGGTGTTCTGTATGTATGCAGATCCCCATGGGCAGAGGGGGTCTTGGGTTACCCCTGGATATTTGGGGTGCTCTGTGTATATGCAGGTCCCCAGGGGCAGAGGGGGTCTGAGGTGACCCCTGGAGATTTGGGGTGCTCTGTATGTATTCAGGTCTCCAGGGTGGAGAGGGTCCGGGGTGACCCCTGGAGATTCGGGGTGCTCTGATTGTAACAAGCTCCCAGGGACAGAGGGGGTTTGGGGTGACCCCGAGGGATGTGGGGTGCTCCGTACACCAGGGAGTCCTCGCAGCAGCCCCTGCACCCCTGCTCCCCGTGAACTCATGCCGTCTGTGTTGTGTTTTCTTTCTGTGCCCGGCTCCTGGTCTGTGTGTGTGTCGCTGCCATCTTCATTCTCACCCTCATCACCTCCATCCTCTTCCTCCTCGCCGTCGCGGCACCAGAAACCCGCCGGGCCGGGCCGCAAGGCGCCCGCCAAGCCGGCGCCCAAGCAGCAGAAACAGCAGCAGCTGATGAGCACGGCCCCAGCCTATGGCAAAGCCCCCGGCGGCGGGAAATCCCCTGGCAACGCCAAGACCCCTGGCAACGGCAAATCCCCCGGCAACGCCAAGTCCCCCGGCAACGCAAAGTCCCCTGGCAACGGCAAATCCCCCGGCAACGCCAAGTCCCCCGGCAACGCAAAGTCCCCTGGCAACGGCAAATCCCCTGGCAACGCCAAGATGGCAGCTGGGGGGAAACACCTGGCTGTGAAAAATGCCCTGGGCAAGGCCCAGACGGGGGGCAAGGCCTACGCTGGCGCCGGCGCACCCAGGAAACACGGCAACGGGTACCAGCAGGTAGAGCAAGAGCGAGGCATCCAGATCGGTGCTGGGCCCCCCCCTGAGGGGGCAGCACGATCTGAGATCTATGGGGGGAGCATGCTCCCCCCCACCCCATCCCCTCCCCCCCAATCTATGCGTCTCGCTCGTGTCTGTTTGTCTGTCTGTGATGGGGCCATTCGGGAAACGCCTTGGCAACATAAATAAACCAGCAGATGGAGAATGTGGGGAAGGCCCCAAATCCCATTCCCTGCCCCCCTGAGCCAGCCAGTCCCTGCCCTGGGGCCAGATTGGAGCCGGTGCCCCCTAGAGGGGAAAGGTCCTGTGTCCGATTCCTTGCCCCCCTGAGCCAGCCAGTCCCTGCCCTGGGGCCGGATGGGAGCCGGCGCCCCCTAGAGGGGACAGGCCCCTGCCCCATTCCCTGCCCCCCTGAGCCAGCCAGTCCCTGCCCTGGGGCCGGATGGGAGGGAGTGCCCCCTAGACGGGAAAGGCCCCATGTCCCACTTCCCTCACATTTTCTCTCTGTGTTTATTTATCTTGCACCTTCTTTCCCATGAATGGACACCCCAAGTCCCGCTTGAGTGACAAGGGGTAGTCGCTCCCTGGCAGGGGGCGCTGCAGGGGGGCGCGATTCCATCAGCGATCGGTTTGTCTCTATGTGTCCGGGAAAACGATCCGGGATGAATCCAGTTCCGCTGTCCCTGCCCCTTCCTCAGGGCAGGGGGGAGAACAAGAATAACCTACTAATACTTCTGTCCTCTTTCTCTCTCTCCTCTAATCCATCTATCCCTTTGCATATCTGTCAAACCATCCTCATGCATGTATCTCCATCCATCTCCATGCACTTCCGTTCGTCCACTGCATCCATCCATCCCTCTGCATATCTGCCTGTCTGTCCATCTGTCTATCCATCCCTGTGCATGTTTATCCATTCATTGCATCCATCCGTCCATCTGTCCTCATGCATATCCATCCATCCATTCATTGCATCCACCCATCCCTGTGCATATCTGCCTGTCTGTCCATCTGTCTATCCATCCC